TCATTAAATAAAAGCAGAGCTGATTCCACAGGACTGGGCTGTGCAACTCGACTAATTGAATGCCTACTAGGTCCCACAGTGCTGCGACAACTATCCTGCAGCTTTGCCTTCAGAGAGCCTCACAAAGCACCTACTCTGTGCCTGATGCACTGGACTCACGTCTCATTTGGGAGATAAAGTGGCATGAAGACATCTGACACTACCTCAGCCTTCGGCAGCAATGCCACCTTGAGCAAACACCTTCACCTTTCTGGGCCTCAGTTTCCCTATCTGTAAAATGAGACAAAACCTGATCCTTCAGTTCGTTGGGAGAATGAAAAATGAAATCAGAAAACGGGATGGAGACTCAGTGGTATGTGTTGCTCTTGCAGAGGACCTGAGCTCAGTTTCCCAAAGCTCAGGGTATCCGATGCCCTCTTCTGGACTCTGTGGACAACTGTACTCACATGTGTCACTCCGCCCCATTCATAATTAAAATACATGTTTAGTTTCAGAATGACAAAAGGAATCCTGCAGGTAAAAGGACTTGTCTGCCAACACAAGCTGTGGAGGCAGTCGGTGAAGGGGGAGTCCCAGCCCCTTTGACTTCAAGCCCAAGGCTGTTGTATTGTGACAACCTGGTTCTTATCAGTGCCATTTCAACTGTCTGTACTAAGAACACAGAGTCAGCTTCCATTTGGGGACTTGATATAAACTCTTAAGCAATTTTCATAAATCTAAATAGCTTTTCTACAGTTATTCTTCTCTCCAAGTTCATCTTAATCCATGTGTCACCTGCAAAGATGGATGAGTAATTTAGGGTCTTGATTGATGTGGGTTTTGCCTTATGCCTTTCCTGGAAGTTAATGGGAGCCATGCGGCCCCAGATCCATGAATCAGCCCAGCTGGAAGCATGCCACTGGAGGGAACGGAGAACAAAAGCCCGGCGGGGTGCCGGGAGGCTGTCCCACTCACTGTTGGCAAGGGTAATAAAACCCCAGTGCAGGGCTGGCAGCACTGAGGTTGGAGTCACAGCTGCTTCCCGTTGGGCCACCTTTCTACTGGGGGCTCTAGACAGCTCACTTCTCTGGCCTTAGAGTCTTCATCTTTAAAATAGGGCTGAGGAGCCTAGGAGATGGTTGCCTGGAAAACGTGAGAGCCTGAGTTCAGATCCCCAAACCTATGACACACCCAGAATCCCAGAGTTGTGAGATGGGAGCCCAGACAGAAGGAGCTCACCGGCCAGCCCACGGCTCACGGGCCAGTCCACGGTTCACGGGCCAGCCCACGGGCCAGCTAGCCTGGATTTCATGAAGAAGCTCCCAGCCAGCAAGAGGCCCTTGCTCAAAACAAAGAGGACGGAAGAGACAAGAAGGAAGCTCGACCCCCTAAGCTTGTCCTCTGACCGCCCCGTGGGTCTCGTGTGTGTACACCCACACCCACTCGTGTACCCATCTGTATTGTCACAAGAAGCTCGGGCCGTTCTTGGTGCTAAATCCATGTGCTGACAGCATGGGAGAAAGTACAGTAATGGATCCAAGCAAAAGTGAGGATGGAGGAAGCCAGCCTGTGGGAAAGACACCCGATACCCGGCTCATCTATATCAACGGGCAACGCGAGCAGTGGTGGAATGACGTCACAGACGGCATGGACAGTGTAGAAGAGGCGCACATACGGGAGAGGCCAGGCAGAGCCTAGTGCTGGAAGTGAAAAAAATAACTAAAAACCAATGAAGGGTGGCAAGAACCCTCTAAAGGTGTGGGCTTAGCCCAGTAGAAATTAGACTGAGCAGAGTCTTGTCTGAACCCTGGCACAAATGCATTGTGGGACTTGGAGAAAAGCCAAGTACCAGCAGACAGTGGGTCAACTGCCCAGGGCACGGGTTCATGTGGGAAGCTGAGAGGTTGCTGGAATTGGTGAAATGAACATAGTTTTGCTTCCTTCAAAGCAGACAGCGCCCCCCAGTGGAAACTAAAAAGTACACACTTGGATTCGGTTTTCTGCACAATATCTATTAACCCAGTCGCTCTCCACTCTCTTGAAATGCTTTGGACACAATGATTTAAGGACAATCATTTGAAAGGTTACTAATTAAAACAGCACCCAGAACCAAAGAGAAAAAGAGAGAGGAAGGGAGGGAGGGAGGGAGGGAGGGAGGGAGGGAGGGAGGGAGGGAGGGAGGGAGGGAGGGAGGGCACTAAGTATCTCACATGCACACCAAATAATGGCATGTCCTGCAGCATGTGGGAAGTCTCTGGCAGTACCTATCGCTCCTGCTGTCAGGTACACCGTCTAAATAAGGAAATGAGCTTATGGCCCTGTGTGATGGTACACCCCTATAATCCAAGCACTGGGGAAGCTGAGGCAGGAGGATCACGAGTTGAAGGTCAACTTGCATGACCTAGTGAGAGCAAGCCTCAAAAACGAACGAGACAGAGTTGGGGATGAAGGTAAATGTGGAAGGGATGGCGGGCAGACTTAGGGGTGGGGAGGTAGGAGAGAGGGAAACTGATTGTCAACAGGAGACAATGACAAGGCAAGGTCAGTGGCCCAGAGCCTGGGGCCTCTGCGCTGCAGTCCTCTGCGGATGAATGGGCCACTGCTAGTGCTGCCGTCTAAGGAGTCTAGAGCTAGCGATGAGAGGCAAGCTTTCAGCGCTAAATAGATTCAGTTCTGGAATTCCCTGCCACCGGCTATCTGAGTGACCTCTCTAGGGATGTCTCAGAGGCTGTCTTCCTCTGTTATCGCACAGCCAAAATAATTCCCTTCATCATGGCTTGCTGGCAGAGTCTCAGTTCCTCTTGCCTTTTGTTCCTGCCTAGCCGGCACTTGAAGAGCAAACACTCCTGGGTCTCCAGCCACATCACTTCCTCTTCCTCTTGAAAGACCCCGAATTTATAGAAATAAAATGTAAGCTTAAACAGGGAGGGCACCCCACTAGAGAACTTGGGAAGTGAACAAAGGACCCCATCCCAGGAACTGGCCAAACCACAGAATGGAATGTATGGTTTAGCAACCTTAATTGCAGAAGGGCTGTAAACCCACAAAAGGCCAATTCCGGGCTGCTGACCACCTGTGAAGAACTGACCAGGGCGTCAGAGATGGGCAAACAAGATTCGTGGGAAACAAGATGATAACCACCATTTACTTAGGGAGAGATGATTAACTCATACCAAGGTTTGAGGAATTTACAACATGTAGGTCAGGAAGACATCTACTTCCCCTGGTCAGTAATCACGTACCCCCCCCAACCCCCCACCCCCGTAACAAGATAGGGACCCCTCACAAAGCTTGTGGTTTTTGTCTTTAAAAGCTGATTGTAACTGAACCTCGGGGCCAATTGGTCTAAAAGCTGACCGAGAGGCCCATCTGCAGATGCCTAATTAAAGCCTCTTGCGTGTTGCATCAATTGGCGCGTGGACTCTTGATTCTTGGGGTGACGAATCCAGCTTGGGGACCCCTCCTCAATTTGGGGTACCCCAACACTCTGAGGTCTGGAGGGAGGGAAATTAACTTAACCTCATTAACCTTGGTTACCAGTAAGAGAGGAAGTATTTAACTGACGATTACCTAAAAGTCTGTGAGGCTTGGGATATCCCACCTTGCCTCTCTGATTCAGATGAGGGGACTCTGAAAAAGGAGATTCCTCCGGTGGGCTGTCCCAGGTCGTCACTCACTCAGGAAGTATAGAAAGGATTGTTAGCTTGGTGCTTGACCACAAATAGAGAGCTGGTCTCTCCAAATGTTTTATCAATAAAAAGTGGATGCCCATCTCTATTCACTAGTCTCCTGGGTCTTATTTCTCAGCTGGTCCTCATTTTAGATGAGAGAAAGACAGACTTTTGTCAAACCCTTAAAACTCCAGTATGGGCAGGGCTGGAAGAAAATTGTTGTCCTGGTTCTCGTTGGGATACCCAAATATGCAGCTGATCAAGTCCCTTATACAAAACTATGCTGCATTTGCATATATCCTACACATATCCTCCAGTAAACTTTAAATCGTCTCTAGGTTACTTATCATCCCTAATACAATGTAAATGCTATGCAAATCATTGTTCTACTGTATTACTCAGGGACTAATGACAGGAAGTCTATTCACACTCAACACAGGAGTAATTTTCTTTTTAGAGGAATTTCAATCCTTGATTGGTTGAATTTTCAAATGCATAACTCCCAGATAGGGAAGGTGTCCTGCATATGTGTTAGCTGCCTGCTTTACATCAAAACTGGACGTGGTGTTGGTGGTACACATACATCTAAAACTTCAGTCTTGAGAGGCAAGAGCATCAAGACATGCTCGGCTACATGGTGAGCTCAAGTCCTACCCAGGCTTCATGACACACTGTCTCAAACAAACATAATGGCCACCAACAAAAGACTGTGGTAGTACTCAGGAGGCAAAGGAGGGCAGATCTCTGAGTTTGGGGCCAGCCTGGTTCACATAGTGTGTTCCAAGCCAGGGCTGCACAGTATCTCAAAAGAAGAGTTGAGATGAGGAAAGAGACGGGAGGGTGTTCCAAACAGGAGCATGTTCAGGGGTGAAGCTGGCCTGGGGATGGTTCCTAGCCCCTTGCACCCTGATTCCTGCTCCACGCCCTTAGCACAACTTGTCGTGCATCCATCTTTGATGTCACTTCCTGTCATCAGGGTGTTTAAGTCTTCCCCTTCATGTGTCTGGACTGCTCTTTCTGAGGTCCCAGCTGGATCCACACCCGTATCCCCATGTAGTCCCCTCTCTCCCATCGTCAGGAAAGAGTCTACTGTTCCTCCTCCTCTGTGGGTGCCACCAGGTGAGTCTGTCGTGTGCCACAGCAAGGAAGTACAGGGGTTCCTCCATCTGTATTCAGGCTGAGGTCACTTTCAGTTTAAGTAGAATTTGATGTCGTTGGTGGAGAATCCCATGGAAAACATCTCTCAGGTCAAGATTCCCCAGCTAACTTAGCTTCTGCCAAACTGCTTACTTGTGTGGTCCTTCCCCATTGCCCACAGTCGCTGAGAGAGAGATGCCAGGATGCTCTTACCTTCAAAGAACCTTTCCTCTGGACACTCAGTGCTACGATTGGGTCGCTGAATCCCTGAGTGTAGTCCCAGCTGACTGGGTGAGACTTTCAATTGGCTGCTAACTGTCTGAGTGGTCATCTGGGGGACTCCCTGGTGCTGGGTTTGACTACAAAAAACAGAACAAAACACAAATAAAGTTTTAAAAAGTAAGTTTGCATGCAAGTTTGTTCTCCCCTCCCCCAATCTAGATCTCAACGCTAAAATAATGGACTTCCTGGAAAGTTCAGATCACTGACCCTAGATGATTGGCCAATAGCATTTCTGCTTCTAGAATACTTACCTAATCCATAAAGATCCAAAGAGAACTTTTTAAATGCAGACACTAATTATGTTATGATCTCTGGGTCTTCAACATCATGGTGAAGTTTGTGTCTAACCATCCAGGTGCCCTGATCTTCAGCCTGGCGCTCAGAAAAATTCACTGGAAGACATCAGGCCAAGTGGACTATACCGTCTACTCCCAATCTCTGTTAATCCCCTCGCCACTCTTAGAGGACAGAATGGTTGAGATTTGCTAATCCTCAATGCCTAGCGTTATGTTGTGTCTTCTAAAGGTTCAGTTAATCCTAATCATACTGGATCAAGCCAGTTTAGTCCATAAACTTCTTGTTAGGAGAGTTTTACTCAGCTGGGAATTACAGCTTTTCATCCCAGATCATAATATGCATTCAAGTATTGTAATTCAGTGGAATTGTGGGTTTTCTGGGAATTGTGTCTATCCTCCACAGAGCCACTTCTCCCTCATAAAACATGCTTGACAAAAGAAAAGGGGAAATTCCTTGTTACAGTGATTGGTGCCTTATATCTGTGTTTTCCAGGGAAGCCAAATCATGATAAATGTTTGGTGTGTTTATATAAATTTGAAAGCAGCAGAAATCTCTTGAAAGAGAAATACACTCAGGAGTGCAGCCCCCAGAGCACCCATGAGTTGCAGATATGCAGCCTTCAGAGTTCCCTTCAGCCATAGACATGGGTTGTCACTTTTTAATCACCTCAGTAAATCCGCATCTATCAGAGCAGAGCATCAACAGATACCATCTCCAGTTAAGAACCAGTTTCAATCTGAGTGATGTCAGAGCTTACCCAGTGTGTAGTCAAGACGGCATTGTTTCTCTGTGTTGCCTACTCCTAAGACCCCATTCCTCTTCATCCAAACATCAACAGTAAATAATAGACTCTGAGTGTCTGTTAGTTTTCCTGTTGCTGTGACAAAATGCTTAGCATCCTGTGCTAGAGAAGGTTTATTTAGGCTCACAATTTGAGGGTACAGTCTGTCGTGGCCAGGAAGTTGTAGAATTAAGTTTTAAGAATTCTTGCAGCGGTCTAGAAGTTTAAATTCAAAAGAAAGAGCAAGTGTTGTGTTTTTGTCTGCCCCAACCCTGTCTCATGTTCTCCAGCTTCATGGCCTTGAAAATCAACAGCACATATCCACATCAAACAAACAAAGAAAAAACCAGCCACGGGTGAGACACAACAGGATTGCACTTCCTCTAGAGTCTCACTCCCAGAGAACCGTCACCATTGTCCTGTCTAGTACCCCGCCAGAAGACCCCTTGCAAAGGCCATCACTATCTGACTCAGCTCAAAATGCCAAAGCCTTTGCCCTAGATCAGCAATTCTCAACCTGTGCATCGAGACCCTGATGGGGGGAGTGTCGAATGACCCTTTCACAGGAGTATCATATCAGGTACCTTATGTATCAAATATTTACATTATGATTCGTAACATGAATTTAGGTATGAAGTAGCTACAAAAATAATTTTATGGTTAGGAGGTCACCACAACATGAAGAACTGTATGAAAGGGTTGCAGCATTAGGAAGGTTGAGAACCACTGACCTAGATGTTTGTTGGAAACATTTAGAGGCAACTAGTTAAACCTGTGGCTGTCTGGGGGTGGTTGGTCACTGGAGCAAACAAGAGGCTGAACAAAGGCTTGAAAGAAAAGACGGTACACAAGGCCACAGGGGTTTACAGGTCTGAGATCATCTTGGGAATGTAGAGGCTGTGCCTGTGTCTGGGCTGCACCATTGCTCAGACTCCACACAAGTGAGGAGTGAAGGCTTAAGGTATGCTTGTCAGCCCCTGTCTGAGTCTGGAAAGCGTGTTCCAACACACACAGCTGAGTCCCACGAAGAACAAACTTACTAAAGTGACCGAGCTGAGACTTTAAAACCACACACAGTGAGGGACACAAGCCTTAAAGAAGTTCCACAGCTGTGAAGCTACATTATTTAAATTTCAAGTATTTAGCAAAATATTACAACTCCTGAAAAAAAAAAGAAATAAAATGAAACATAAAAGTATGGTCCATATCCAGAGAGAAGCACTTGGCACACACTCCCTGAGAAGGTCACTCAGGCCTTTTGAGATAATTATTTATATGATGACTGCAAGTATGTCCAGCGAGCTAAAGGGAACCATATCAAAGAACCAAAGAAAAATACGGTAATGATGTCTCACTAGGTAGAGAAATGTACCAATTTATACTCATGTAAACTATATTAGCTTATATCACTTTCAGTAAAATGTAGAAATTATTTTTTTAAAAAAAGAACCTGGTAGATATCCTGTAGTTTAAGAACATAACCACTAAAATAAAAATTATCAGGCAGAAGGAAGAAAACATGTCTACATCAAGCTAGCAGGATAGCTCAGTATGGAATGGTGCTGGCCACTGAGGTGGATGACCCGAGTTTGATCCCAGGGATAGACAGAAGGAACTGACCCCAGAAAGTTGTCCTCTGACCTCCTCAGGTGTGGTGTGGCATGTGGGTATGAACTCATGTATCCGCAAACACACAAAAATGCTCCTCATGTAAATAACTAACTCCACACAAAAACCTGTACCCAAATGTTCATAGTAGCACTCATAATACCCAAAAAGTACAAGCAATTTAATTTGTAAGCTAATGAATGAATGAGTACCATGTGACCAAACTACACCATGGAACGCTCTTTTGCCACGAAAAGGAATGAAGAAACAAACCTGTAATCTAAGATGAAACATGGGTGAAAATTCCAGTCACGTTCTGTATGATTGTATGGCATTTGTTCAGAGCAGCTGCCTTAGCTACTTTTCTGTCACTGTGATGAGACACTATGGCAACACCATGGCCAAGGCAACTTAGGGAAGAGAGAATTTATTTGGGGCTCACAGTTCCAGAGGGTTAGAGACACCATGACCAAAGGCAAGTTGGGGAGGGTTTATTTGTCTTACCCTTCAGCACTGCTGTTCATCACTGAAGGAAGTCAGGACAGGAAATCAAACAGGGCAGGATCCTGAAGGCAAGAGCTGACGCTCTGCAGAGGCCATGGAGGGGGCTGCTTACTGGCTTCCCCTGCTTACTGCTTCCCCCGGCTTGCTCAGCCCCCCTTCTCATAGAACCCAGAACCACCAGCCCAGGGAGGACTCCACCCACCATGGGCTTGGCCCTTCCCCCATCGATCACTAAATGAGAAAACGCCTTATATCTGGATCTCACGGAGGCATTTCCTCAGCTGGGGCTCCTTCCCCTGGTGACTCTAGCTTGTATCAAGTTGACACAAAGCCAGCCAGTACAATCTGTGACCATCATGGTGGGAACATGGCAGCAGGCAGGCAGGCATGGTGCTGGAGCCACAGCTGACAGCTTATATCTTGAGACACCCAGGAAGCAGAGAGCACATTGGGAATGATGTGGGCTTTTGGAAACCTCAAAGCCTGCCCCCAAGTGACACATCTCTTCCAACAAGGCCACCTAACTCTTCTCAAAGAGTTTCACCAACAGGGGACTGAGCATGTAAATATGTTCACCTATGGGACCATTCTTATTCAATCCACCACAGTAGGCAAGTCCATACGGACAGAACTCAAATGAGCGATTGCTGGGTAAGGAGGAGGGTAATGATTGGAAAGGACTGCTGGCAGTAATGGGGCTGGACATGTTCTACAGTTAGTCAGTTATGACAGCTTCACAGCCTCGTGAGTTTGTTAAACACTGTGGAATCGTTCACTGTAATGAGTCTTTCTCTGTTCCTCCAGCCAGCTCCCAAATAATGACACAGAGACTTATTAATGATGGAAGCTAGGTCTTCACTTAGGCTTGTCCCATTAGTTCTTACAACTTAAGTTAATCCACTTACATTAATCTGTGTTTTGCCTCGTGGCTTTTAACCTTTTTCATCCTGTGTGTCTGACTCCCTCCATGTCCTCTTGGCATCTCCCCGTGCCTCAATTGTCTTCTTTCTATCCCCAGAAATACCACCTATACCTCCTGTCTAGATATTGACCATTCAGGGTTTTTATATATATATATATATATATATATATATATATATATATATATAATTTTTATTTCACTTTTTACATATGGCCATCAGTTTTTTATTACACCAATAACAGTGACACATTTTTACACCTTGTACAAATATCCCACAACAATTCACTCTAAAGGGCGAGTTTTATGGTATATGAATTAAAAAAAAACAAAGACAAGCACGTGGAGGAAACTAATCAAAGCCAGAAATAAAATCAGTAATCACATATACTAACTTCGTTAAATTGACGAAATGGATCAACTGGGAAAAAAAGCAGTATCTTTGGGGTACTCAGGAGAAACTTAAACCACCAACTGTCAAAAAGGAACAATACTTTGTGAACCTAGTTATGATGGAACTGGAACAAGAACAATTGGATATGGGAAGACACAAGTGTAAATCTTAGAAGCAAAAGTACATAGTAACTTCAATTGTCAACCTGAGAACCCAGTGGAGATTGCCCCAGCAGGGAGTGACTTGCCACACAAGCACAAAGACCTGAGTTTGATCCCCAGACCCATGTTACTTAACTGGATGCGGTGGCGCCTGCTTGTGGTTCCAGTGCTGGGGAGGCAGAGGCAAGAGGATTCCTGCAGCTCAGCCAGAGCAGTGGATGTCAAAAAAACAACTGACAGCCACTGCTGGAGGGGATGCAGAGAAAAGGGAACTCCCAATCACTTGGCAGAACTGCGAACTGGTGAAGCCACCATGGAAATCAGTGTGGAGAATTCTCAAAAGGCTAGAAAGACGCCTACTACATGGCCCAGCTTCACCACACCTTGTCATGGGCCCAGATGGCTCGACATCT